TCTCAAACTTTACACACAAATGATTATAGGAAAATATATAATGATCATGTAGCTACACATTTGGCACAATTTTAGTTAGGAGTCTAGTTACAACCAGTTGTGCTTTTTAGAATTCATATAATTAACAAAATTCTAATGTAACAACCTTTTTGATTAATTAAATAACAATTTTTAGATAGAGTAATACTGTAATTTGGTGTAATTTTAAAAATATAGCTTTACTGTTTCACATCCTCAGCAGTAGTACACTAATTTATGTGTAATAGTCTTCCATCAACTTCATACATGAAGATGACAATTCCTGTTTATCAGGCTATTCAGAAATAGGTTCAGAAACATAATCAATCAGATATGTATCCATTCAAATACAGTACCAATTATTATTCCAATATAACTATCAACTGAATATCTATCATTAATATAAATTATTAAAATGCATCTTATCATTACTATAAACTAAGTACATTCTGAATATACAGAGAGTATGAAATGTCTTTTACCTCGATACAAAAATCACAGTGCTATTTACTACATTTCTTATGTTTTTTTTCCTGTACCTACTTCATCCTCTGAAATAGTATCTCAGGGACTTAAAAATCAATTTATATCAAATTCTGACATCAGTGTTCCTTCCTACAATGGATAAATACAATGATATCATAAGCAGTATACCTAATATAGAAACATAATTTACATTGAATTGATACAATTCCATCACAACAACAGACAAGTACATCTAATTGATGCAAGTTAATATACACAAAATGGAGTAAAAGATACTACAGACATAGCAATATGACTAAACCTTAAGAATAATCTTTGTGATGATACTATGATTAAATGCTCCACAAATACATGTGTCACAGCTATTTAATGAGAAAATTGTTTCTAGCTCTTAGGCCACCACTGACCTTCAAGCATAATAAAGGTAACAAACATGTTCAAGTACAATGTAATTGTTCATTCGTCATCACTTATAGCCTTACTATGACTACTTTCATTTCATATTATGTGCTATTCTTAACTAACAGTTATATTAATAACAGTACATTTACTAGACTTAACTATCTAGAGCTACATCCAAACTGGCAACAAGCAAGCACAAGCATGTGGAAGCCAGAGGGAGTAGTTTTATTCTTGTGACAACATTTTTTTTTTTTTTTTAATAAATGGAATAAGTTTTATCTTTATCATTTCTCTGTTACTGAGTAAACACTTAAACTGCAAAGTTCCAGCTAAAAAACTGAACTGTTAACTCTTTCCACATTGGCCCACTTTCATCACCACTCGCTAGTACTGATACAGCTGCAAGTTGCTGTGTTCTTGACCTTCTTGCTTCAGCTCACTTGCACCAGCTTACTGCCAGTGTTGACACAGTTTAAGTCAGAGTTGATTTACACATTTACTAACAAATTCACCTGAATCATGAAGTCCCATTTCCTTTCCTCCTGAGAGCTGCAAGTGTGGGCCCACTGCTAAAATACATCAGTAAGGCAAAAATGTCATTAGATAAGAGTGTACACATTTTCCTACATAAACAGGACAGGCACTGAATTCTTCACAAATATCTATGAAAATCTATCAGCCTATATTCAGATGCTATCACGATCTTCGTGCAGTATTTAAAAGTTAGCTTATATATTACATACTCATGAAGGCAATGAAAATAGCAAAGCCTGCATAGTGTTCTTTGCACCAATGTGTTGACATTCATCAAGAATGACTGAAAAATCTGAGGCACCCAAGTTAGTCACTCTTCAGAGCAGTAGAAAGGCATTGACAAAGTCATTTTGGGCATATGTAAAGTCACAGCTGAAATTACAATTAAGTACATGCAGACATTAGCAATGTATCTGCAAACATGTGTTCATCTTTACTTATCACTGTATCACCATCTTTCCTTAGCGTAAATTAGTTGTTCTGAGAAATGCCCCTTGCACTATACACATTATGCAAAGTTCGTCTTAATATGCTGCATTATTCTGAGAAGATTCTGTATAATACAGAGTTTAAGTTATAGAGGCCTAACAGTATTTATACAATCCAAGAGATTATATCACAAATAACCCGATTTCTACATACTGTTTTCCCCTGAAATTTTACAGCTTATATTGATGATGAGAATGATATTACAGCAGCACAATACAAAACTGAATTGAAGCTGATAATATGAATTGCCAAATACAGTATCTAGATTTACAACCATTCAAAATTATTACCATGCATGTATTTTACATATCACTATAAAAATGCACAAAAAATTATACTGAAATATCAAATTCCAAAGAAATTCCAACACACCATCACAAAAATCAACATACAAATACAAAAAAAATATCAGTAATAAAAACAAATTTATCTAGCATAGATATTATCATTGTAAAGACTTTCATATTTCAATATATTCTATCTTCAAATGCAATCTTTGTTTCAAAGCATTTTTACTTCATTTTTTAAATCTAATTCCACTATACTTCAACCACCACAATGTGTATATATATAACACCTAGTTCCAAGTAATCAACATTTAGTGAAAACATCCTAATCAAAATAATCAAAAGTTCAATCCCCTTTGTACTTGTACCAATACAAAGGGCACTGTTCACTATCAATTTCCAAACACTTGTCTCTTACACATATTGACATTTGTTTGGGATACAAAAGACAAAACACATTGGTAATGCCGAGTAGTAATCTCAGAAGTGTGTGGAACTTTACATATGCTTGACAGATTTTATTGATTTTACTCTTTACAAAGCCTACTTTTTAAATTGCGTATACATCAAATGTTAATACCCGTTCTGAAAATAATGGGCAATTATCTACAACTTATTACCTATTCCTAAAATAATTCTTCATAAAATTAAGTCTCCATATGATAATAGATTGCCACAACTGAAAAACGTAAATATTTTACATATCTGCTGCCAAACATTTTAAAGGATTTTATTTCCCATTTTCTATGATGCTGCTCTATAACACTGCTTTGTCAAGAAATGTTCTAAAACCTAAAAAAAAAAATTATCATATCAATCTCATTACAGGCAATACAATTGAAGAAAAATCTAAACAGATGAGAGGCCATTTATGTAAATAAATTTCCTAAATAGCAAACAAGGTCTTCCTCCACTATACATTCTTTCTCCAGTATTTTTCTTTTCTCTATTTTCTATATCTTTCTTATTCTTTTTGTTTCTATTTACAAATTTACCAAATTAATTTATCCATTTAACCAGTCTCACCCTTCATTCTTTTTTCCTTTTTTTTTATTCATCAATAACTTATATTAATTTTGCCTCCATTACAGTCAAAGGTATAAAGAGGTTGGGAGTCACTATAGTCTTCATCCATATAGAAAGAGACACAAGAGTTAACTGTTACTATGGACGGACATCAACCCATATTATGTGCACATTGTACTAACTGAAGGATGGGGTTAGTGAAACTTAGCTGGTGGTAGCAATTACTGAATCAACCTTTCCCATTTCAATTATCTATAGAGACCGGTCAGTTATTACCATTTAGAGGAACTTCTTTTACAGTATAAGCTAGAACTGATGTCTCTTTTTCCTTTCAAAAACTTTAGCATAGTAATTAATGAACTACTGCATATCATTTGTACTTACTATCAGTACATCTAACTATCTCTCTATGCTAAGATCAGTGCTCAAAGTAACCTAAAAATTTAAGAAGTATTTTCATTTCTTCATGATTATTTTCCAACAAGATTAGCAATTTTCCAACAAAATAGCAGTTTGGCTCTAGAGGGGGGTTTTCCGTCCCCCCCTGACCCCCCTCTATCTACGCCACTGATCTCATATAATGGACTGTAAACTAGACAACTGCCTAGACATGGAGGACTAATGTACGTCCTCACCAGACAACCAAAAAATTTTACAAGTCACTACTGGGCTGAACACCAATAATATTCACATTCATTTCTAATCAAGAAGTCATATA